TGAAGTCAAAATTCTCACTGAATCTAGGTATCTTAACCTTATCTTTAGCTTGATTGATTAATCAAAAGTAAAATGAGGTAAAAGATGATTAGGCGAAAAAATATTTTTAATTTAAAATCATTAAATCACGTTTTATAATATTATATTGTATGTTTAGTATTATGCATTAATTAAAGGGTTTAGGATACATAATAAGTAGGTGAAAATAGGGTTTGATTACAAGGAGAGATATTGATCAACGGTTACAACAAATGATTGTTGTGAGATCCGATCCAGTCAGGTCATCGTGGGAGGGAAGAATCTAATAAAAATTTATAGCGACAACTGACAAGTGGTTGGAGAAGATAACCTAAAAAGAAAGGTTAACGTTAAGGCTTTGCATCGATGTCCGCTCTATCTCAAGTCTTACTACTTTACTCATCACTAGTCCTTTTCTTTTTAACACACACGTGCATTTCAACGTGGAAAGTCTTCAAATTCTCCTACATAAAAACACATTCAGCAATTAGTACATTTCTATTGTTCACATCTATTACATTTCAAAACCCTTGTCAGATTTGCACGTGTTTGGTGGGCCTCCATCCACTTTCAAATTTTAATTTCTCACCCCACCATCGCAGATTTCCATTGCAATGCATGGTTTGAATCGTTTGATGCATGCTTAACAATTTACTCATCTTAAAGAAAATTAAACTAAAGGGAATTGTAGTTTGTGAAACTGGCTAAAGTGATGGATAATAATGAAATTATTTTCATGCTCAAATGAGGGAGAAGGACAATCAATGAAAGGTCAAAATGAAATAGGAAGAGATGGATCGAGTACATAAATCATAAAGCTAGGGGCCGCACGAGGGGGCACTGAGAATGGGAGGAGGATACACACTCCTTTCCTCTCTAAGGATTCTCGCTGTCGGCTGACATTTCCATACATCAATGGCCCCGCATCCACAACCATCTTTCTTTTTAACAAATTATAATCAACTCTTTTCAGTCTTTCCATTATTTATTTGTTTTTTCTTTTACTTTTGGGCCAGACTCAGAGACAAATAATCCATCTTTGCTTGTATTTTCTTTTCCCTCGTCTAATTACTTGTTTTATATATCTGGTTTCTTTTCTTTTAGGTGCTGTAAGGTAAGAACTGGCTAAGAAGAGGAATCCCTCTTCTGCAACAGATTTTTTATTTTTATTTTTTTACCATATTTGTCTTTTGCTTTTTCCTGATATAGGCAGTAGTTCTTTTTATTTTTTAGCATAATTGTCTTCTGCTTTTTCCTGACATAGGCAGTACTCCGCAGTAGTTCTTTTATGGTCAAGACTGGTGTACCACAGTAAGCACACACAACCAATATTCTGAAAACCGGACCGGATTATGACCCGTTCAAGTGTCCGGTTTGACCGGTTGGATCGGTCAGTTAAACCGTATTCTGTAAAAGTATTTTTAGTCCTTAAATGTTTGAAAATCATCAAAAACACCCCTATAATACTCCCTTAAGATTTGAAATCTATCCAAAACACCCTTGTTGCACGAAGAGACTGGTGATGGTGGCGGCAACAGCGATCGACGGCCAATCGAAGTTTGGAATCATGGGGCTTTTGATGTATAGGTGCCGAAGAATCTAATGGTGGTGCTAGGGAGTTCCATCGACGCCGGAACTTGTCGAAATCAAGAAAGAAGTCCGACGGTTGCATGAACTTTAGGTGGACAGCGAGCGACGAAGGCCACTGAAAATGGTTGGGTTTTGTCATGGAGATGCCGTCAAGTCTAATGGTGGTATTTTCTCCCTCGAACGATGCCAGAATCTGGCGAGATTGAGTTGCGATTGGACCGCGATTCGGTACTGTTCTGACGGTCCAACCGCGGCTCAATCCGGTTTGATTGAAAATAACAGTTTTCAGAGGATACCAGATCGGATATGCCGCCGGCTACCGGTTGAACTGGTCTGACCGGACGGTTCGGTCCGATTTTCAGAACATTGCACACAACAACCTCCTCTCATAAAAATAATATTAAACTAACAGCCTTCTCTCACAAACTTTCTCTCACAATCCTGACGTGACAATTTACAATTAGTCAGTTTACAATGAGCCCCACATGGGTCCTACATGAGTCCTACTAATTAATTACAAGTTGATCAACTGTGAGTTATCACGTCAAGGTTGTGAGATAGGGTTGTTGGTATAGTATTACTCATAAATGTGTGTGTGTGTGTGTGAATTTATGTATGTAGGTAAATATAAAATAGGCCGAACGACATCTTTCCACCCGAAGGTTGCCCTAAAGACAATTTACTATCCGAAAAGTTTCAAAATGACAATTACTGATTTTTTGTTAATAGTTGTCTGTTAAGTTTAACTGAAGAAGGATAAGATAGTAAATTAAAAACAATCAAGGTAATTACATCATTTTATCCCCTATAAATAAACAAAAAACCCTACTCCCATCTTCTTCTCATCACCACAGTCGATGCCGCTGCTAGTTGTTTGCTACTGGTTCTTACCAGATTCTTCACCAGAATCAACAGGAAAAGCCACCCTAACCCCGATCACACAGTTACCCAACCATACCGATCGTTTTTTGGCCGGATTTTCACCTCCTGACAACCAACCACGTGACTGCCATTTTGTTCCCATCGGCCAATTCCAGCATCATTATGACCCTCGCCACCACCATCTAATTCCCTGAACCTCTCCCACACCAAAACCTCTCTACACTCCACCCCGCCACTGCCGCAAATCGCCGACAATCGCATATTTTGTACTTTGCGCGATCGGCCCTCTTAGGCCGAGTTCCAATTGATTCTGACTTCCAAAATCCAACCTATCGCCACCCCAAGCTTCACCGGCTTCCCCTCTACAAAACCCTCAACATTTTGGGCCAAGAATGTTCTTCGATCATCGTTGGCACCACCACCTAGGGTTTTTACGCAATAATTGTAATTGGGATTTCGATTGGAGTAATTTTTAGAGTAATTTTGAAGGAATTGACTGTCATTTTGGAGTTTGGGTTTATTATTGACTGACTTAAGATTTCCCCGACTACTTCCTTGCCGTCGGCAACCAAAAATTTTATGGTTTTGAAAAGACCTACTACCTGTTGGCTTTTTTTCCCAACCTAGCTCCTTGCGTGCTGCCCCCACTTGTGTGCGATTTTTGAGTGCACGACCCATAGTCTTGTGCACCAGAATCGCACTTAGCTAGGTGCGATTCTAGCTGAATAAGATCTGGGATTTGGATTCAAAGATGAAATAGTATTTTTGTGTTTACCGTTATTGTACCATGTCAAGTAACGAATTTTATTAACAGATCTTAACGGTAGGTAGGAAGCTGTCATTTTGAAACTTTTCAGTAATAAATTGTCTTTAGGGCAAACTTCGGGTGGAAAGATGTCGTTCAACCTATAAAATATGAGGATTCTCTTTGATCATGTTTTATTCAAGCGAAAGTTTAGCTCGTAATGGATAATTAATAAAGACTACAGATCTTAATCTTACTTTTCTTATTAGTGATCATTGGTCACAAGATAAACCAAAATTTCAGATAAATTTAGATTATAAGATCCTGATTTGTAAGTAAAAATAAGATATGTTCAATAGGATTAAAATAAATTAACTCTACCAAGTTAGTCATGAAATTAATATTACACTTTCAATTAATTCAAACAGTATTTCCATCACTTTAGTTTTGATGCCATGTCAATTTACATGAATGAGTTTGCATTCTTTTGCATTATGCTTTTCTCCTTTACATCTTAATCCCTGATTTGATAGTCTTTTTCGCTTTTACTGTGCATGATCAGGCTGCAGTGTTGTATCGCTTTTATCTTTCCTCAAAGTAGTCAAAGTTAGGTTCATTCTTCTTTGAAGATTAGACATATGCAAATAATATCCCAAACAGTGACCGCCTTGAGTTTCACAAAAAAGGCCTGGGCTGATTTGCCATTATCACAATCAAAGCCAACCATCGCAACTAGATTAGAAGTTTGTAATACGTTTTCATTCATGATAAGATTTAACTTGATTCTTTTTGTAATTTGAACAATATATTTATTTTTGCGTAATAGGGTATTCAACGTATGGCCAACTACACTCCATTTGATCTGGACCATCGGATTTTGTTGCAGATAAAGAAACATTAACTAAAACTTGGTGGGATTTGAGGACACAAGACTAAAAATTGAAGGATGGCCCGATCAAGCAATATAATTCTAAATTTTATTTTTCTCTTGTCTGATGTTCCCTAAGCATCAGGCCTTATGGTTAGATTGTCTTTGAAATTGACAAATCATATCCCCAACCATCAACTCTACATGTTTCTAGCTCGTGCTTTCATGTTTAATCTGGGGAAGTTGTTTAATTACATATCCCATTTGAGTTACTGGGAAAGAAAAGAAAAAGTTAAAAGCTTGGAAACATGAACAGTAAAATTTTGTAATGGTTACTCAGAAGAAGATGAATTGGTTGATCTATATGATTGGAAAGAAGAAACTGTAAGTGAAATAAAATATAGTTGTTTGCTTTAGTTTCTTTATTAGTAATGATAATGTCATGTGAAGAACTGAAGGAAAAAGAAGAATCTTGCTACCTTTGTCTATTTATAGTAATAATACTTTTCTTTTTATCTAAAATTGCATGAAGAGTTCAGCATCAAACACTTCATGTTAAATCCAGAATTATGTTTAACTTCTGGTCTTTAACAGTAGCTACAATCTCAAAGAAGAAGAAGAAGAAGAAAGATGTTGGAGAATTAATGAAGAATTTGTCGTATCCATTTACTAACCTTTGAGGAGTTCCTTTCAAACCTCAGTATGAGCTTCATTCAGAGAAAGGGGAAGAGGAAGAAAAGAGAAAGTTGCATAAACCCAAGATTAATCATTCACCAAAATAGAGTCATAATAATATTTCAAGTACTTGAAAATATATAGAAACCTGGACAGATCTACAATTAATTTACTTGAGAAGCTAATAATTTCATCAAACACTATACTTGAGTTATCCTAAAATATAAGCTAAAACTTACAAAATATATATAACAAAATTAATCACACTCCTATATATATTTATAGCAAGATCAATGGCTGCCTCAAGTATCAATTAAGACTCGCCGCGCTCCCGCCAGCACACGAGCATTGCTATGCAACGGCGGAGGATGTAGAATTTGGCACGTTGCTTCTTCACAAGATGACTGCACTTCTGGCCAAAGGATCTACAAGGGTCACAGGCGTGCTGATTGTTAAAAGTGCTTGTGTTTTTTTCCTTATCTGCCATGAATGAGTCAAGCAGCTTCCTCAGCTATTGCTGTTTACTGCTACTAGGGTAAGCGGTAAAATTATGAAAGGTAGAGAGGATAGAACAAGATTGGTGTATATATATATGCAGATATAAAGGAATGAGAAACTTTGGTGGGTTGGGCTAAGCTAGTTCTCTAAATTTAGGTATTAAAAAAAAAAAAAAAATAGTATGGACCAATGTTCTTGCTGCCTAATTTCCACCTGAAATATTACCCCACTAATCTTATATGCTTTTACCATTCATATCTCATTATAATTCAATTTTAATCTCATATTACAAATTCAATTTTTAAGTTAATTAAACATGCATTTAATGTCACTGACGAGTCTTCTTGGATGTGACATACTCTAGTTACGTGCTACATTTTGAGCTTCTTATATTCAAACTAGAAGTAGTACAAGGCAGCCAATAGGCATAATGCAACTATTGATTTTAGACAGCAAATTTCTGCTGGGTCACTTAATTTTTTCATGTGCGATGAATAGGTTCGTGGAGAAAGGAACAAAAAAGGTGAGGAAGTGATGATCACTGAACAGGCTTAAGCAAATAGTAGAGAAAATGTCTTTTCTTGGCCCAAATATTAAAAATGGTGTCACAGTCAAAGCCTCACTGGATGCTTTCCTTCATTTAACAGTTGCTTTCTGATAATTAATGACCATTTAAAACTACAAATCTGAGTGATACGATCATCTAATCATTTATTTGTCTGAATATTGTCCAATGGAACCACCAATATTTTAATGACACATCACCACTAAACTTATCCTTATTTGGTTAGGCTTACGCTCATCCGAGGTTCAGGAAAGAAGAAGAATGAGGAAGAAGAAGAAGAAGAAGAAGAAGAAGAAGAGGGTTTAAGTGAAATGAAACTAAAAATAAAGAGAAATGGTGTTGATGATTGAGAGTTGTACGATCCAAAAAAAAGAGTCAGAGATCCTGGAGATGGGGCCTGCCATGTGCGATGACAGTTTCAATTAACCTTTTTGGTCTTAGGAGGTCTCTTAATTGATGGGTCGCCATCTCTCATTATCAACCACTTAAAATCTTTTTATCATCTTCAACTTCGTTTGCAATCTTTCATTAATTATTTCATTTAAACTTTTGCCTTCTTCACTTATAATCAAGTACATTCTTATTTCAATTTATCTTTTATCTTTGCCTTCTCTTGACTAAACATCCATGCCACATTTCAGGGCCACTATAACCACCAACTCGCTCGATCTTTAATTTAGACTAAAAGAAATTTCTTATATTACATAATTATTAGTTACTAGAGTCAAAACATCAACTATACACCGAAGAGCGAAAGTTTTTTAAACAATTTCTATTAACTCAATAAAATTAAACTTTATGAAAACTCATCAAATTCAACTCTAAATATCAAGTAATTAACCAATATATTACAATTAAAACAAATCCCTAAATTTCTATAACTTACAGTTTCATCAATTCTTTAAATCCATTCAAAATTAACTCAATAACTAAATAAAATTTATCAAATCTAACTTAAAACCATTGTTTTGAAACCTGGACTGGCCCCGCCGGTTTAACCAGGGCTCGGAAGCTTCAACGGGTTGGGTTTATGTTTTTCCTATTTACCCAAAACCCTAAGATTTGGGAGGATGATCGACAAACAATTGTCGACCGGGATGCTGGGGCTTTTGAAGAGAAACTGCTAGTGAATGCAATGGTGGTGACGGTGTTGATTTTCGGTGAGTGAATCGACCGGAAATTGAACAAAACTGGCAGCGGAAACAGTCGGCTTTTGTCGGCGATTGACGAGGCTAACGGGGGTGGGATGAGATGGGTTTTGGTAGGAAGGAAGAGGGGAGTAATTTCTAAGTGATAGGGAGGGTGGTCGACGCCGATGTCGATGAGATCTAGCCTGGAATGTCGATGCCAGCGTTGGTGAGATTTGGCCTAAATCGAACATATTTCAGCCAGATCTTGGGTATATTTTAAGGGGAATGGGCTCAAGGGACGATTGGGGTTCCATTTGGGGTGTCGCTGCCACCAACCAATCGCCGACCGATTTGTATTTGGAGTGTGTTTGCTAAATTTCAAACCTATAGGGATGTAACGTAATTTTTAGGGGTGTATTTGTTGAATTTTAAAAGTTTTTATCAACCGGTTTGACCATCGATCAAACTGGTCAACCCGAGACTTGACAACTTTGTCGGGTTTAACCCGGGTTGGGTTTTAAAACATTGCTTAAAACAACAATTACTCAACATAAACAAGATATTAAATCAAAATCTACATTAAAATCTAAGAATCTCATCTTCTAATTTCAAATTCATTTATTAAATTCAGCAAAAACTCAAAACTCATGATCTTTCATCAATTAAGAAAGATAAAAGAGATTTTTAAGCAAAATAATGAAAAATGAACCTTATTTTACCTTGTGACCTTTAAAAGGATAGTCTTTCTGGATTAATCCAAATAAATGAAGAAGAAAATATGAGAAAAGAGGAGAGAAAAAGAAGAAGAGAGAAAAAGTTAAAAATTGTTAACTAATATAAAATTTTGTAGGGTCAAAATTGTCAATTACTATAAAATATAAACCTATTTTAATTTTTTTCAAACTTTGATTGGGTTCAAGTGAACCCATATTCTAATGTGATGTAATGGTTGCGTTGTACTTATATAATTAGTTTTCACCATTCTATAATTTTAAAATACAAACAAAAAATTGGGTTTGGTGTTTTCAACAATTTGAAAATAATTTTATTATTATTTTTGGTTATTTAATAATGCAACTAAATTAAACTTGCAAAAATAGAGAAACAAGGGAGGATGTGGGGCTCAGGAGTGTTAAAAAAAAATACAAAAACCGAATCAAATCGGTAACATAACTGAATTTTCAGTTATTCGAAAAACCGGTTCTGTTTTGATTCAAAGAAAATAAAAAACATAATTTTCGGTTCGGTTATCAGTTTGGAAGAATAAGGAAACTGGTTTATTATAAAAATATTAAATTAAAATATAAAATAAAAAAATCAGCTGGTTTATTATAAAACTATTAGATAAAAAAATATTAAATTAAAACCAATTAACCAGTTTGGTTTCGATTCAGGAATTTTTCTGAATTAAAAATTTAATTCAGTTCACAATATCGGTTAATCGGTTTTGAACACCACTAGCATGACTTGTGTAAAATGATAGCTTGATATTTCATAAAAGTTAAGAAATAAAATATTGGTGGCAGGTGTACACACAAACTTCTTGTATAAATTTAAAGACTCGACATCTTTACAAAATTGTCCTTCAAAATCCTTTTAAAAGAAATAATTCATTTGAAAAATCTAATTTAATACATTTAAAAGACGTGTGAAACTTTTAGGCCTGGTTTTTTTTTTTTTTTTTTTTTTGCACATTACAAAGCGCTAGCTTCAATTTTTTTTTTTTTTTTTTCTCTTTTCTTGGGTGATGAAACGTTTGTACCATATTTATTGGTATTTTTCAGTTTAATATGTCTCAATTTTAGATATTAATAATTAAAAAAAAAAATCTGAGATCAGTGTCCGATAACTGCAGACTGAAAATAAAACAAAAGTCTCAAGGTTTGCTTATGGTTAGACAACTACCAACTATGAATAGAATCAATATTTGATGGGCCAAATTAAAGTAATCATATCAAGTCATACCCAACTTATTTTGATGGAAAGAAATAGGGATGTACTAGTTTTCCAAAGATATTCTTTTCAGTATTTATAAAAAGAGAAGTTGAAAATACAGTTTATTAACAACCTGATGGCAAAAAACTTTTATATATCATTTTCTATAGAAAATTGTTGGTAAATTATAAAGAAAAATTATAAATATTTCCTTCTAACGATTAGAGAATCCGTTGATAAGATATATTTTAAAGGTTTGTTTGATATGATTTACTTGAGTAGAACTTATAAGAAAATAGTTTTTAGAGTAGATTTATGAAAATAGGTTTTTACGAAGGAAAAAAAATCAATTGTTTGATAAAAAATATATTTAAAAGACTTTCTAGTATTCATTTACCAAAAACTCCTCAATGATAATGCCATACACCAACTTCTTACTTTGTTTTCTATTGCATAAATTCAAACTATTCCTGAACATGACCAAGTTAAGCTCCTTTGAAAGGTATAATATTGCATTATATATTAATATATTATATATTATATATATATTATATATACATATTATATATAGCTAGATATATATATTGTATTCAGTGATTTGATAGTATTGGAAAGTTTGCGTGTTTCATTCCACCATTGTAAAATATAACTGCCATCAATATATCGATTAAATTCTTTTTTAATGACTGAGATATCTAGATTAGTTTGTACGCATCTCAACTAATTATTAGGATCTATTAAATATTTTATAAATTTAATGTTCCAAGGTAAAGATAAACTACAAATGTGATATATATTCTCAAGATGATTCAAACTCATTAAATCAATAAAGGGAGTAAACAATCTAGATCGTCAAACAAACCCGTTAGGATTAAATCAATCAAATTCGATTATTTGATTCTGTAATTAAGTATTCATATGACATTGATGTTCCACGATTGTTGCAGGCTTCTTCCACTTCAAGCCCATAGCCCGCGCCAAGGATGTGATAAGGTTAAGGATGTTATATATAGAAATTCTTTGAATCTTTTAACAATAAAAAAAATTATAATCTTTGATCTAATATCGAGTACTTGGTTCGTGGATATGTATTCTTTCTTAAAGAAACTTAATTATGGTACCCAAAAGTTTGATAAAATACAAAATTCTTTTATTCTGAAAAACTATCTGAAGAGGATATGATAGAACTAAATCACATAGGATAGGATTCTGAGAATGTGTTTAGTATAATATCTGAAAATTATATTAGAGTTTGATAAAAATATATAATAGTTGTTTGGTACATTTTTTGAAAATATTTTTAGAAAATATTTAGATTTTTTAACCTCCTACATTTTTTAATTTAGCTAAACACCCCCACAATAAAGTTTATAAATTAACAAAAATACCCTCACTCACCCAAGCCACTGTCGGCAGCCAACCACCATTGCCAAACAGCAGCCGACAGTCATTGGAATGGTGCATGATCGGATGGATCTAGCCGGTCGTGCGCTAATCTAGCATTTTTTAACCAGATCTATGGCTAGATCGGTGCACGACTGGCCAGATCCAACCAGTCGTGTGTCATTCTGACGTCGGTGGCTTGGATGGGTGGGAATATTTTTGTTAATTTATAAACTTTTATTATAAAAGGTAATTGGTTTTAGTTGAATAGAGTTGAAAAAATGTTTTAAGATAAATATAATAGGATAATAGAAAACAACTCCACTCACTTTTCTAACTTTAGATAAAAAATCGTATTTGAATCATATTTAAGTTAGGATTAATTTTCCGAATGAAATGGTCCAATAACTAAAAAAACATATATTCTATTTTTTAATCCAAATAGAAAAATCACTCAAAAATGAAACAAACATGCCCATTAATTTTGCATGCAGTTCATCACCAGTCTTCCAAATTAATAACAAAGACGCACGCAACCACTATATAAACACAGAAGATAAAGATCAATACTTACTTCAGTAATCAATCTACACTTAACATTTTTCCAAACAATCAAATTTCATCTACACATGAACTGGTGTAGCAGAGCTTGGGGTATGCGCAGCACCAACTCTCTTTCCCCTCTCTGATCTGCTATTCTCTGCAAATTTCAGACTCCCATGGTGCAACCCTTTTTGTTTCTCCTCCTCATTCCACTCCGACCCATAATAATACTCTTCCTTGGACTTCTCACCGTCCTTCCTCGCCGGCAACAACATGCTCCCCCACTGCGGAAAGTGTACCAACGTCACCGGCAAAGTACAGCACACAATCATAATGCCCATCAAAGAAATACCAGTTGCGGTTGAGTCTCTTGAACTCGTGAAAAACAGCAACTGTGTTAAACCAGAGCCGAAGTTTCCACCGGCACCAGTGAGGCCGGAGATGACGCCAAGCGAACGCCTAGAGATGAAGGGTATGATCCCGAAAGTGGCGCCGCATGCGGCTTGTGTTGTGATGGAGAAGATTATCATGAAGAAGATGGAGAGCGGGAGAGAGCTGGCTCGGCCTAAGCAGATACAGAAAATACCCCCTAGGGTTTGAAGGATGTAGAGGTTCCAAAGACGGCCACGCATGCCGAAAGGGCGGGCTGCCATGTCAGACATGAGGCCGCCAAAGGGGCGCGCGAAGATGTTGGCCATGCCGAAGGTGGCAGCTATGGTGCCGGCCGTGTGGAGCTTGAGGTTAAACCTAATGGAGAAATAGAAATCAATATTTTTAATTATATTTTAGTGTTAGTTTTTGTTGATACTATATTTTTTAGATGAAATTTTAAATTTCTCATCATAAGTGATAAGTTGTTTTTATATGACTTTAATGCAGAAAATAATATAAAACAAAACATTACTTGAGATAGAAAATTTGGAAAGTGTAGTATCCACAAGGAAACGATTAAATTAAACCTGTCAAAGAAGTATTCAGCGATGACGTTGTCAATGGTTAATTCTACACCCAATGACATGCCGTAGAGAAGAACAAGGACCCAAGTTCTGTAGTTCGTGATTGCATACCAAAGCACCTGAGAACAAAAGTTGATTAATTTATGATTAACATATAGTTAATTAATTACAATTTTCTTTTGCAATAGTTAAAGTTAATTTTAGGTTAAAATAATTTACCTTTGAGAAACTATCCTTGGTAACTTCCCCCTTCTTCTGCAAGGTACTGAGGTTTCCATCAGGCAAATCTTGGCCTAATGTCAACACCAAAATCCCCATAATCACATGTAATAATCCAGGCACAAAGAAAGCAATCCTCCAAGCCGTAAATGGTGTTGTCCCGGCTCGCCTAATGACCTCATAAATGAATGGCATAAGAAGCTGAGTCACCCCACCGCCCATATTTCCCCAACCTGCAGCTGTTCCATTAACCAGCCCGATAATCTTGCCGTTGAACATCGTGCTCATCCAGTACTGGCACGACACAAATGTTGCGAGTGAAAATCCAATCATGAATCGGACGGCTATGTATCCTCCGGCGGATGAAACAAAGGGCATGCAAAACACAGTTGGGGCTGTCAACATTATGAGAAAAGCACAGCCGTAACGTGGGCCTAATAGGTCACAAACCGCACCCATTACAAGCCTAGAGAAGATGCTGCCGGAGACGGAAGCGATACCGGCATTGCCAATATCGGCCTTTTTGAGGTTGAGGTTGTCTCTGATGATTGGCACTAAAGGAGCGGCGGCGAAAGTGGAGACGAAACAAGTGAAGAAGGAGAGCCAAGAGAGGTGGAAAGTGGTCATGTGGGGATTGGCTAAGGAGAGAAGATCAAAGACTTTGGCTTTGTGCTCTGAATCAACTGGGAGTTTGAATTTTGCAGTTGGGTCGGTTGGGATTGTTGGGGAGGTGACGGCGAAGGCAAAGGCTTGTTCTTTGGCGGAAACTCCATGCATGGAGCTTCCTGGGGAGTTAGCTGTATCAGCTGCCATGTTTTTAAGGTTAATTTGCTTAATTTTGGAAAAGATCTCTTTATATAAGGTTTTGATGCTTGTAATTGTAATGGGCAATCTGTATTTAAATTTTTTATTGGAGATTCCAACGGTTGATGTTGAATGGAGCATATCCTGGCTGTTGATGTAAATGGGTCTCACAGCTTATACGAAAGGTCACTTTGCTTATAGTGGAAGGAGTTGACATCCAAGCAATTATACAAATGTCTTATGGTTCTATCACTCACTAGATATTCTGACCCAAATCAAATTTTCTCCCTTTAATTTTTACTAGTAGATTCCACTTTTACACTGTAGATGACGGTTAAATTACTTATTTTACTCCTCAATTCTCGCTACTGAAAATTTGCAATGCTTCAACTGCAGAGATCCGTGCCGGAGTTTAAACAATACACTGATTCGTCACTGTTTTGTGTACTATTTTCTTACCCCGTACTTGCGATGGAGAAGGCTACTGAAATTAGTTACTGCAACAAGAAAAAATCTACATATTAATAAGGTGGTTTAATTAAACGGGGAATTGGCTAGTTGTATTGCTGTAGTCAAAGTGTCAAAAGTAAAAGACTTGCAATATAACATTTCATGGTTTATATTAATTTGTGCCTTATTCATCCATCATCACAAACCCTCCTTTTGTCTTGCACAAAAAATAAGTTTCATCCCTTCATTTTGGTACCGAGTCAAAGTAACAGTCGGAGTTCTTCATACTATTTTTCGCGTTACAGGTTGACAAAGACAAGAACCTCTCCTTACCCCTTCGCAACTCCTAAGAGGTTTTTAATTTTTATTTTCTTAAAATCAAAAAAATGTCTTGCAATTTACACAATTAAGATTAATGTAATTTACTGAAATATTTTACCAAAATTTTGGCGAGCTATTAGAAAGAGGTTTTGCCTGATGACTTTTAATTATAGGTCTCTCTTGCTCATGATCACATATTATTTTTAATTATTTTCTAAGAAATTAAATACACGAGTCTTTCATGAGATTATCTATATATATCTTTTAATTTCTAGGATATACTATATGTAATGTGTTGGATAAATTTCATTGTCTAAGATTTATATTTGTGTGATTGAAAGCCTAGTAAAGTTAGCCAAATTTGTCAAGATTCTTTTGGATCTTCTTTCTTGTACTAAAAGCACCCTGCAACTTTCTTGTAATTAATTAATTAATTACTAAACTTCCTTGTCTGCCTGATCGGCCATCATCAAATGTATTGATTCTAAATAGGACAAGAGAAAACTATGAGTTAGTGACTCAGATCGGCCCTCATCTATTTGTTGTCTTTGTAACTGTAGCTTCTGCAATAAAAACCACATTGTATTAGAGAATACAGAATTAATTAACGCTTTATTCTCATAATTTACATAAATAATGACTGAGTTATTCAATTTGAGATAGCTACGAAGAGCAGTACTCGTGGAGGATAAGAATCAACGAAGTTTACTAATGGAAAGAATTTGCTTTATGGAGAGCTTCTTTTCTCCTTGTTTACATTAGCCCCATTGTTCATTTGAAACAGTACTAGCTATTATGTTGTTAAAACTCAACTACTGATTAACGATATTAATTAGAACAGAAGGTTTCAATTTCTTTTACATCAAACTCAGACTCACAGAATTGCTCTCACTCCATATATTAGACCCTTAATTGAATTCACGTACGTTATGTATTATAGGAGCTTGTTAGGCTTAGATCTTAAATATATATTAATGTGTGAATTATTAATAAAGTGTTTATTTGGTGCAATGCTCAAATATATATGATAAAAATGACTTTATCTTTTCAGCTTAATTGAATTAAATATATATTTACTGGGCATCGATCTTTTGAAAATCTAAATTTTCAGGCTTAAAAATTACAATTGTAGTTTTTGAAGGATGCAACAATTGCTCCTAAACAGAGTTTAACTCATTCTTAAAGGTAATTATTTTCACAATTGAATGATAATAGTTTGTTGGAATGTGAACACCAGAGAAGATGCAAGCGAGAAAAAAAGACAAACAAGAAAGAAACATAAATTTAAGTTTTAGGCAAATTTTTATTTTAGGAATTTATAATTGAGAATATTTGTTTTTCTTTACTTTGAGTTGTATTAGGAAAGAAGAATTGGTTTAAGATTTTATTTAGAGTTAAAATAGAAGAATGAATTAAATTAGAGGAAACCTTTAGGATTTGAAATATTAATCATAGTAGAAAAAAGAATGTCTTATTTTACCTATAAAAAGAGAGGTTAGAATCAATTCAAGATTATGAGAGAAGTCATAAGAGAATGGAGAATGTGAAGGCACAAGGGTTTTGATGTAAGGGTACTATGGATATCGGGTAAATATTAAGGGATATTAAACACTATAGAATTGGTTGATGGTGTTGTACTGATAAAACACTATAGGGTGGAATTCCCACCTAAGTATTGGGTTGATGATGTGATGTACTCTTATATCGTGTTCTTAAAATTGTAGTAGATCTCTCATCCGTAGATGTAGATAAGTTATGCTGAACTACGTAAAATATTGTGTCTTTGTGAGGTTTATATTCTTCGCATATTATATTGTTGTTCTTTTTCTTAGTTTTTACTCCGATTTTTAATATGGTATCAAAGAAGATTATGATTTTTAACATGATATTAGAGTTTATATTCTCAAATGATCTATGGGAGAAGGAGCCTATGAAAGATAAAAGCGAAAATTGCAAGGTGATGGTATGCAAGAATTCCCAATCATTCATTGAGAAATTCATCGCGGTCGCCCACTTGGTTTGCCAACTTTGATGTTTAAACTTTGATTTCCAAGATTAACCATTGCTTTCTTAATGCTCCTTGATATTTATCAAAGAATTCTAGAAGCATAGGAAATGGAGCAAAATATTATTACATGTGTTCCTTTTCCTCGCCGAATGTCACCCACCCGACCGACTTAACCTAGATGGACCTCATTACTCTTTCAGTGTGCAGGAAACAGCAGTACAATATGGAGGATTGGCAAATCTCTTTTATAACCAATTATTTATTTAGGACACAACCCCACCATGTAAATTCAAATAATTCACACTTTCTCATCAAATTTATCTTCACGTAAGGAATCTGCTTTTTTTATTTCATTTTATTTGCACTTTTTTGCTTCTGCTTTAAGAGTTTCTTGTTTCTTCTGCTAGAAGTTGGCTCCAATCCAAATGCTTATATTATCATCATCTCAAGTTCTCCCATTTTTATCTTCTTTACATTTTCAAACTAATTATTTTATTCCACTCGGCGAATCAATCCTGTGTGATGCAGAACAGTCATATCTCTTTATTGTTCCGGCATCACTGTGTTTGTCATTGTCGTTTATGCAGTTGTCTTAGTTTGAACATTTGAAAAGTGGGGTCTTGTAATCAATCTTATACTTTTAGCAAACATAAACATAAATAGCTACACTTCGCTTCTTTATTACTTAATATAATAAACTAATTAACGGGATTTAAGTTATTTTATTTTGTTAAATTTCAGGATAAATCTCTATTAGTTGGATTTTTTTTTTTTTTCAAAATAATTGAAATTTTTGTTCAAACTAATTCATTTTGTAAACAATTATACCTTAATTAATAATATCCCCTTTTATTTATTTAGTTTTGGGGCCAAAATAGAGGGTAAATTCAGGTTTTCGTAATTGACCAAGATGAATGGTTAAGATGGTCTAAACTCTCTATGTAATGTATGGACGAAATCATTTAGTGTAGTGAAAAAGAAAAGAAAAGAATACAAAAGCATTGGCAGTATTGACCTAGTACTCACAACTTTTTTTTTGGTTTCTGTTGTGATGATTTTATGAGTAATGCTACAGTTACTGACAAGTGTGTACCGAATTTGTGTACCGAATGACGTGGCATATTTCTAACCGTTTATTTATTATCAGTTAATATTAATAAACCGTCAGGATTTTGCCACGTCATTCGATACACAAATTCAGTGTAAACTTTTCGGTAACTCTATCATTTTCCTGATTTTATTGGGACACCTAATAGTAATAGAGCTACTAATATCCACGCAATTAAGCAAGCCCTATCAGTCATTAGTTTTTGTGTAATTAATTGTATGCATTGTTTTTCCGTCTCACGTGCCCACAGAAGCTTTGACTACTTAATCTTAATGAGCTTCGAGAACTGTAACTCAATTCCCTTTGCCATTTTTACCAATATTCTTCTACTTGTCTTCCTCATTACTTCATTTACTAATTCTCCTAATTCAAACAGCTATATTAATCCCGAGCTTTCTTATCAGTTTATACTTCTCTTTCTTTTTTGTGGCTTCTCCTTCTGATTTTATTTCTTTTTTTTTTTTTCTATGATTTTACAGTATTAGGTGATAACTCAATTCGTGGGTTCCAGCTTATATCAGTGAATAAATTTTTGTTTGGCTTGAAACAGATTGATATACTATATGCTCAGAAATATATTGTTCTTGATCGACAATTATGGTTTTTTTTTGTTTTTGTTTTTGTTTTTTTTTCCAATCAATGATCGTGTAACAGAAGATCTCCAAACAGCTCGTAACTTTTTTCAAAATTTTGTATGGATTGAAGGGCATGCAGTTGTTGTTTGCGGATTCAGCATCATCAAGATTCTCAATTAATACCAAGTAAATTATAAAAGATGTTGGGGTTGTGAATCTTGATGATGCTGCATTCGCAATTAATGACTAATTAAAAGTTAGGTCAATCATCGGGCCATTAGAAGTTGGAGAATTCTCATATTAACGCATATGAATGAACTCTGAAAGTTTTGAATCAGCAGATGAAAAGAAACAGCGAAGAAAGAAATAACTGAAGTTGGAGTAACATTTGAGCATGATATGGAAGTGCTAACACGGTGAGTTAAAATTAAATTATATCTCTTGTTTAGATCAATATTTGCAAGATCTTTAATTAATATTAGCCTATACTTGAATGGGGTAGGAAGATAATGTGCGTGGACATATTTGAATGCTCGCTAGTTGGATT